CGGGCTCGGAGCTTCGTTCTCCCTGCCAAGGATTTAAAGGGACTTTGTTCCCCAAGTCAACCAAGAATAAGCAGCTAGGGAAAATGTAACAATCCATCCTAGCGCTTACCAGGGAGAGAGAACCGGGGGGCCGGGGGGGGGGGGGGAGTCCAGGAACCGCTAACAAACACCGGAGCAGCGGGGCTCGGGGAGAGGAGGGAAAGGGTAAGGAAGGACGCGACGGGTTGGCCACGTGCGTGCTGCTGATTTTATTGTTGGCGAAGGTGCCCCGGGCTACGGCGGGGACTAGCGAGCCGATTTCTTAGGCCACCGCCCTGGGGCCCCTTTTGCCCGGGCAGGGAGAAGCTTAGCACCCCGCGGCCCCTTAGGGCCACTCCACCGGTTCCGCCCCGGTTTTCCCCGCGGGGGCTCCGCGGTCCGCTGGGCGCCAGCACCCGCCCCGGGGAGCCGAGGAGAAGCCGGGCGGCTGCAGATTGGCCCCGGTGGCACCCGCTGCCACCAGCCAACCCGTAATTCAAAGCAAACACGGCTGAAATATTGGGATTGGTCGCAGTCGTGACAAGATCTACGCTTTTGCCGCCAATTTATTTGTGCAGCTCTATTTAAAGGCACTTGATTGAGGAAATGTTGAAAATAGCGGTGAGGGTTCCCCTAATGAGACCTCGGGAGGGAGGCGGCGGCCTTCGCCCCGCGTGCAGGGCGCGGTGGGGGAGGGACGCGGTTAACCCCTTGCTGCCCGCCTCCACCGAAAAGCCCTCCGGGATCCGCCGGGGGCCGCTGGGGGAGGTCCCTCCCGCCCCGCAGCGGCGACCCGCCTGGGCCTGAGCGGCGGAGAACCGGCCTCCTGGGCGGCGGTGGCATCAAAAGGAGACGTTAACCAGGAGCGGCCCAGCAGCCAACGCAGAGGCCTAAGTGCGGGGTGGCGCCCCCTGCACCCTAACAGTCCCGGGCTGTGGCTGCAGCCCCGCATCTCAGTCTGGGGCGCACACTGTCCTTCGAGGGCTGAGGCCTCGCGATCCCCGGGGAGGTGACCCGGCCCGGCCCGCAGTTGTCTGGCTGCGTCCTCGGGCTCCTGGAAGAGAAGGCGAGAAACCGGAGAGGCAGAGGAGATACATAAATACTTACTACGCGCAACCAGAAATCGGTTCATCTTCCCTAAACACCCTCGAGGCCGGGCTCATTACCCGCATTGTTCAGATGGGGAAACTAAGGCTCAGAAAGACCGGGGCGCCCCTCCGTGGGGAGCCCAGAGCCCTCCGTGCCGGCTCGGACTCCCAGGCCCCAGGAGGTCGAGAAAGGGCACCCCCTCCCGAATCCAAAACCGGCTGCGGCAGACCCGATGCCGGTGCGATCGATCGGTGGGAGGAAGGCTTCCCTGGGTCTCCCGAGGAGATAGAGAGAAAGGTCGGTTCCCTAATGGGCCTCGATCAACTCCTCCACTAGCTCGAGTCGCTTTCAAAATAAAACCCAACCCGACTGCTTCCGGGATAGGCGGGATTCACCTGACTGCTCTAAGTCACCCCTTTTACACAAGCCGTTTAAGCACCTACTACAGGGTTCAAGGCGTTGATGGGGCTCCCCACGAACCCATAGTCACAGGAAGTGCCCAGAGATCTACTAGAGAAACCAAAGCAGGGGCACCAGAAAGGAGTTCAAAAGAAAAAAGATTGAGTTGGTGGAAGAGAGAGAAGGGAAGCTATACCTGGAAAGGATTCCTGGATGGAAGGCATTTGGGGGGGGGGGGGGTAGAAGAAACACAGAAGTGGGGGGGGGGGTGTATGCTAGCTATGCTGAGGAGGCAGCGGGTGTCAGACCCACAGTTGGGCACCTGCTGCCATCTCCTGCTTGCTGCTCTAACTTGAGAACTGAGTTGATCAAACCCTGAGCCTAAATTCCAGTCTCTCTGCAGATTAGGGCTTGTCGACAGCACCCTTAGGGCTAGACTTAGACCCTTCCAGAGCCCTGGGCTGGGGCCAAGGGAGACTGTCAAGGGCAGCGGTGGGAACATGCACTGGGGGCGCTCTCCCCAGAACTCCTAGCAGTGGTTCTCAACCTTCCGGCCCTTTAAATACAGTTCCTCATGCTGTGACCCAACCATGAAATTATTTTCGTTGCTACTTCAAAACTGTAATGTTGCTACTGTTAGGAATCGCAATGTAAATATCTGATATGCAGGATGGTCTTAGGCGACCCCTGTGAAAGGGTCGTTCGACCGCCAAAGGGGTCGAGACCCACAGGTTGAGAACCGCTGTACTAGAGCCACACAAGCCAAGCGCCTCCCCAGAAGGATCTGGTCAGAAATGCAGCTTAAGCCGATCTGAAGTTGTCTTTCTGGAGACAGAGGCAGATGTAGACTGGAAGAAGGAAGACCCCCGGAGGGGGGGAGGGGGGAGAGGGGAGGCCTGGTTTCGGTTGGACTTCCCCAAGAGTGATCTGTGCCTTCTGTTAGCAAAACAAAAAA